CTTCAGCCTGTCTGGGTGCACCTACTCCCTGGGGTTTCTTCTGTTGCTCCCAAGAGCAGTGCGCCCCAGAGGACTGATCACCACACTTTCTTCTCAAGAGAGAATTTCAAGGATTTTCTTAAAAGGAAATCCCTTCGTGCTAATCAAGATAACAGATTCAAGAAACAGAGGTCCTATCCATTGTAAATAGTAAAGACAAGTGCAGTGATATCTCATTTGTATTTTTTTGGATTTTTCGAGACAGGGTTTCTCTGTAGCTTTTGGTTCCTGTCCTGGAACTAGGTCTTGTAGACCAGGCGGGCCTTGAACTCACAGAGATCCGCCTGCCTCTGCCTCCGGAGTGCTGGGATTAAAGGCGTGCGCCACCACTGCCCAGCTCTCATTTGTATTTTAATAAATAAAATACAAATTTTATTGCCTGAAGTTCATAGAGTAAAACAACTGCACTGATCAGCCTTACAGACCAGGTAGTGGTGGCACACACCTTTAATCCCAGCCCTAGAGAGGCATACAAGATGGGAGAAGACAGCTCTCACACAGAGTCTCATTCTGAGACTCCTGGAGGCAGGATCACCATTTCGGACTGAGGTCGAGGTAAGAGACAGTGGCTGACTTTTGCTTTTCTGACCTTCAAGTTGAAACCCAATATCTGTCTCTGGGCCTTTATTAACCATGCTACAAGCCAGCCCACTTTACTCTTTACATGAAACATAATCCCAGTGAAAAGTCTGTAATGAGTCAGTTTTCATTTTCTTAAAATGGCATGATGTATTCAAAGTGTTCTTAAACACCCTGTGCTGAGGAACCTAAGGAAGAGTTAATATACAGATGGGCATGGGGCGTACATCTCTCAGTCCCCAGACTGAGAGTTCAAGGACAGCCTGGTCTATCGTAGCAAGTTCCAGGACAGTCAGGGTTACATAGAGAGACCCTGTCTCAAACAAACAAACAAACAAACAAACAAAAATTGTTGCTACAGAATATAAAAACTGATTATGTAGAAGTGGGCTACATTCACGAATTATTTAAAGTTCCAGGTTACAGTCCATCACTGTAGGAACGACACAATGGCCAAAGCTTGAGGCCGGTCACATCTTGTCCACAGTCAAGAGAAGGGAACAACGAATGCATGCATGGTTTTGGCATCCTCAACGGAATGTTTAAATTTCTTCATTCTTATTCAGTTCAGGGAATGATGCTGCTTGCATGGAGCTGCGTCTTTCCACATCATGTAGACAATCCCTCACTGATACTCTCTTCCCAAGTACTTCTGGGTGTTTCTAGTTGACAATAAAGCTAATCACCCCCCAACAGCTGACCTTTGGGCTCTGTGCCAGCAGGAGATGGCAGCAGAGGTCAGATTATGAGGGTGAGGGGAATGCTCAAGCACAAAGCCCATTTGCAAAGGTCAGGGGGAACAGCTGCATTTTACCTCAGGTTTCTAGTGTTTATGATAAAAAATTATGAAGATTAGAATGATGGAAAGCATTTGTCAGATTGGCTGCAGAGACAACAGGACAGACTTCATCAATGTGGTGTGTGTATAGATGTATAGATAGATAGATGATAGATGGATAGATGGGTGGATGGGTGGATGGATGGATGGATGGATAGATGGATGGATGGATGATAGATGGATGCATAGATGGATGTGTGGATGGGTGGGTAGATGGGTGGATAAATGGGTGGGATTGTATGTATGAATGGATGGATAAATGGGTGGTAAGATGGATGGATGGGCAGATGGATGGATGGATGGATGGATGGATGGATGGATGGATGGATGGATGGATGAATGGATGGATGGGTAGATGGATGGGTAGATGGATGGATGAGTGGATGGATGGATGGATGGATGAATGGATGGTAAGTTGGATGGATGGATGGATGGATGAAAAGCAACTGAACAAATAAACACTTATGCTGACAATGTCACAATAAACCACAGAAGAGTCTGCGGTGGGTGGGGCACATCATTTTCAGAATCAATAAATTATGATTTCCAAACTGTCTAATTTTCAAGAATATGTCAAAAGGCACACAAATATATAAGGAAATCATGAACCAACCACAAGAGAGAAAAACCTTAACAAAAACCATCCCTGGAAAAGGCCAGACACGGAACTATTGGACATGTTTATGCAACCGAAGGGAACCGGGATGGTGACATATAAACAAACTTCCAAAGACTTCCTCAAATTCTTCTAAAAAAAAAAAAAAGACAGAATAGTCACTAACTCATGATGTGGAATCAGCCTGGTACCGAAGCCAGAAACCACAAGGAACTCCATACCACACACTAATCATGAGTGTAAGTACAGCACTCCTTGGCATGATGCTAAGATCACGGGCAGGACTCTTACTACTGCTGCCCAACACTGCCCTGGGAATTCTAGATCAAACAGCAAGGAGACAAAGTGAAAAGAAGAAAAGGCATCCAATTGGAAGGAGTAAAGTAGAACCATTTATATTCACACAGAACAGGGATCTAGGGAACTGATATCAAACCTACCAGAACTTAGTTGCTCCACGGAGTCTCTTTCTCCAAGAGGGAAAAATGTGGACTTGAAGAATACAATTCCATCTTTACAATCATTTGTTACACACTGAGTTCATGTCTTCCCCAAACACATATGCTATGTCCTACATCCCAGTGATGTTGTTGGGAGGGAGTCAGAGCCTCCATGGGTTATTACACCAAAAAGGTTCAATCCTCACCAATGATCCTGGTGTGAGTTACTCTTGGCTCTCCTTCCATTGTGCAAGGTCACAATTAAAGGGAAATGGAGGAGGAGTGAATCTGGGGACAGGAGAAGTGGGGGGATGGGAGAATTGGAGGAAGGGGAAACTTCAGTTGGGATATATTGTATGAGAGAAGAATTAAAAAAGAAAAGAAAAGAAAGAAAAGGCAAACACCACAGAAAACAATTGTGTGTTTAACAGATCTCCTGGGAACTGGCTTTAGACTTTTCTAGCCCCCAGTGTTGTAAGAAAAACTGTTGTGTAAACAGTCCAGTCTACAGTTATTTACTATATCTACCTGAACTAATACTGAATTCAAATAAATAAAATGCCTAAGAAGAAATTCACTCAATATATTAACATGTGTGATAGAAGTTATAAAATATTGCTAACCACAGGAGACATAATAAATGAGGAGATGCCGCACGTCCATGAAGGATAACCCTTTAGTGTCACTAACATGGCATTATTAAGTGATGCTCTCCAGAGAGTCAGCACAGCTTCTTGACCAATGCAGTGGCTCTTTCTCTAACTGGAAAAGTCCACCTGAAGTTCATTTATTATTGACAAAGATACTAGAGTGTTGTAGGGCAAGAGGTGCTTGTTCGTCCCAGCTGCCCAGAACCAAAATAAGCACACAGAAACTGCATTAATTAAAACACTGCTTGGCCCATTTGATCTAACTTTTTATTGGCTAACTCTTAAAATTAATTTAACCCATGTTTATTAATCTGCATATTGTCACATGGCAGTGGCTTACCAGGAAAGATTTGGCATGTCTTTCTTTGGCGGCTCCATGGTGTCTTTGTTTTTTACTCCGTCTTTTTTTCTTTAAGCATTTAGTTTTGTCTTCCCCACCTACCTAAGTTTATCCCTATCAACTAGGCCAAAGCAGTTTCTTTATTAACCAATGAAAGCAACACAAACAGAAGGAACTCCTAAACCACTTGAGTCTCTGCAACAGTCTTTAAAAGGACACGCCATGTCAAAGAGCTAACTCTAGAAACTTCAAAATTTAACAAGAAGCAACAGTAGGCAAAATACTGTCATGTTCTGTCACAAATGTAAGCCTATAACTCAACAGAATATTGAGTGCAGAAATAAAGCCACACTTCTAGTCTCAACTGGAGCTCTCCAAGGGTCCACACCTGTGCAGCCCTCTCAACAAGTGATGCTAGAGTAACTGAATATCTAAATATTATGGGTGATGTTGTGCCACTGTCCAGAACATAGGCAAGACTGACGAAAATGATCCAGTGACTTCAGAGTAGAAACAAGTGACCTGAATGTGAACATGTACGGTCATGAGGAGGAAGCAAGGGAGTCAACCGTACTGCAACAAACAGAGTTTGTTGACATATTCAGAAACAGAAATGTCCAAAGCATGAGAAACAAAAGAGAAACCAATAAAGATATTGGATTTTATCAATTTAATATTTCTGACCAATGTAATAACCCAATGGCTATAATTCCAGCACTCAGGGGCTATCTCCAACTTCATGACTACGCCTGTCTCAATAAAATAAAAGAATAAAAAACAGATAATCCTCAAAGTAAGGGAAAATATTTGCAAATCAAGCACTTTTAAAGGGTTTGTCCTCTACAATACAGTTTCATATCTCAACAGGATAAAAAGAAGAACAATTTCAATTAAAAAGTGTAGAGTATTAAAGGATTTTGAATGATTTAAAAAAAAAGATAACCAAAAATTCAGTAAGAATTTGGAGTGATGCCTAAGATCAGAACTCAAAAAGATGTAAGTCAGCACTAAAATGAGGCCTTTTATAGGAAAGCAACAACAACAAATAAATCACATTTTGGTTAGCCCCCTTCTACTCATTCATCCCCCATGTCTGTATTTAAACCATATCCTGTGGTTATCAGGAAAAACCTGTAGAACGTGTTAAAATATGACTTTACATCAACCCAAAAGTCAATGTCAACAGGTAACTCTCCCCTCTTCACCGCCTACCTGACACTTGCATTGATGCATTTGAAAAATGCTTTGACCTGTGGCTTTCCTCTGCTCTATAGCTATAGAAATGTCATAAAGCTTTCCACATGGGAGCATTTCTCAGGGCAACCTGAATCTGGGCTTCTGGTCCATCATCACTCAAACATGGAATAAGAATAAATGTGAATTTCTTTTGAGCAGCTTTGTATGAGCAGATCATATTCATAGCCGACAGTGAGCAAATTGGATGAAAATCATCCATCTCTCTGGGCCCTCCAGCATGAACGAGACTTCACCTAAGACCCCAGTGACACACTAAGCAATGAGATAAAAATATGTTATCTGTTTGGGAAAGACTCGCTTGCCCCTTGCAAGGGGCAGTGGCTTGTGGGATGCCCTTTCCTCTCACGTGGGTCTGCTGGACGCCTCACTAAGATGCCAGTGCATGCCACACTTGACATACCCTTCTTGTGTATTTGTTTCTGTTCTCGGATGGCCTGCCAAGACCAGCCAATGCAGGCAAAAGGCCACGAAGTTCTGGCAGTGGCCCAGGCGTGCATCCCTGTGTCTATAGCATAGAGGCACAGAAAATACAGTGTTTTATGTGGGTTTGGGTTTTTCCCCCTTTGACAAATGTGAGCAGCAATTCTTTCCCAAGCACTGTTTTAACGGCTTCAGTTCTGAGGCTGTTCTGGCTTGAGTTCTACCCTTAGGGAATCAGTTGCTGATTTCTGAGGCTGTTCTGGCTTGAGTTCTAATCTTAGGGAGTCAGTTGCTGATTTCTGAGCTCTGCAAACATGAAACAGAAAGCTATAAACAATGATAACTTTCAGTTGGTCTGGCATTTGGTTGGCATCTAACACCATTAAAATTATGTAGAAAAGTATTAATACCAAACAGCACCAAGACTCACCGCAAAGGTCAACCTGTACTCATCGGCCCTGGTTTGTTTCTCCATTCCTGGTCATCAAGTGTGGTCTCAAACTCCAACTGTGGCCCAGGACTCAGAAATCCCCACGCCCTGCCTCCCAGCCACCCACTAACATTCTTTACCTATTGATTTATGGGGTTTCCCTCTTTTTTCTTTTCTCCCCATTAGTAGTCAAACATCATCAAAATTAAAAGCATGTGTGTTTTCTTCAATACAGGCATTCTGATATCCTCAGAGGTCCAGTCATTGTATGTTCTTAGTATGTGTAAAATGAACAAATTGATCAGCAGATGAGTGGACAGCGTGGTACATGTAATGGGATTTTTCTTCAGCTGTAAGTTAAGTGAAAATTATCTCATTCACAGGAAAATGGATGGAACCAGAGGTCACTGCCTTAAGTAAAACACAGACCCAGAAAGGCAAAAGATGGCATGATTCTGGTGTGCATGTGTGGCATGTATATGCAGTCACGTGTGCATAGGTGTATGTGCATGTGTTCACATGCATGTGAGTATGCATGCGTGTCAAAAGTATGAGACTCCAAGTGAGGAAGAGGGCTATAGAAAGCGAGAGGAAGACAAGTAGAGACACAGGTGGCAAGAAAACTAAAGAGAGGAGGGAGATCAAGCAAGATAAGGGAGTAAGGCAGGAATGGGAGGTTGATGGCAAAGGACAATGACACCCATGGCACATGTGTGTCAAAGTCACCATGGAGGGAACTCATCTCTTCGTGCCCTAACGAAAGGTTAAATGAAGATAAGACATGCTGACCAGATGGATCATTCCTTTCTTGAAGGTTTTTGCTCACCGATTATTTTGCATTCTCAAAAGCTGTGACATATCAATGTTCCCCAAATATTTTACTTTTCAGGCTGCTGCCGCATGCAAGAGTGGCCTGGTCAAATGACTCTGTGAGAAATGGGACTAAAAGATTTTGCTGGAGCAGAGATGTGATAAAGAGCCTTGTGAGTCTGCAAAATACTGGAAGGAGCAGCAAGCTGCTTCCAAGGGGTTTATTGACAGAGCCCTTGTGTCAAGACCTTCCTCTGGGTCAAAATCGTGGGTGGAGCCATTTGGGAAATGGGGTGAAAAGTGGATTCTTGTGTCTGACCACTATTAGAGAAAATACTGTTTTTTTTTTTTCTAAAATTAAAACTAGCAAAACTTCAAGGAAGCAAAAATCAAATTGAAAGCATGCCCCTCTTAAGAGTAAATAATCCATCATCAAGTACTTGGTGGACATGGAAAATGGATAAAACTACAGCTTTTAGGACATGGTAGCCTTGTCTCCATCTCCTAAGGAAATTCCCAGCCAAGGATCACAGACGGACACATGAAGACAGTCATGTGTCTCTGCACAAGACAACACTGCCCCGGGCAATAAAAGCAAAACTCAGTTTTCTCTACTTATCTAAAGTTTAATAGTTGGTCTCTGAGGCTGACGTTCACTGTGCTATTACACTAGTCTGTGTGTTCATTCCCTAATCATCTTGAAAAGGCTCATGTTACAGGAAGCCTGGAGGGTGGCTGGTGGCAGCTGCAGTTGGAACAACACTACGTTAGACTTGAACCTTACACGCGTAAGCTACACTGGACTGAATCCTAAGCAGACACAGAGCAGGCCGGTCATTACCTTTTCGTATGGTCGGCGTGGCACTGTCTGCAATCAGTTGCAGACAGTCTTGAGTGACTGAAAAGCAAAAACACAAGGTTTTAGTCATTGGCAGAAACAGCAAGGCCACAAAGGAGATGGGGATGCTCAGTCTGCCTCCCCAGAAGCACTAAGTTTCTCTCAGCTTACGGAATGGCACCCTTAAGAGTCTTGGTGAAATCTGCCCACTTGCTGGAATCTAAACACCCAGAGTTATTGACACCCGAGGTGATCCTTCCGTGTTTTAGGAATGCAGTGAACAGCCATCTGTACCCTCCCATCTGAGCTCCTTTGGAATATTTCTAAGGCAGATTTATTCATTTTGGTGTTTTCTTTTTATTATATTTTAATATTTAAAACAACTTCTACATTTAAATATATTTTGATCATCTTCTCCTCTCCCAATTCTTTCCAAATCTTCTTCCCCTTCCTACCCACCAAACTTTTATTTCTTTCTCAAAAAAACAAAAGAACACATACATAAACAATACAAGAAGATCCCTCAAAAATGAAGAAAACAAACTAAAACAACACCCAAACAAAGAACAACAACTACAAAACAAGCAAAAAACACACCAACTTTAACCAAATAAAGGAACACACACACACACACACACACACACACACACACACACACAAAACCTGTGGAGACCATTCTATGTTGGCAACCACTCCCGAACATGAGGTCTGCCCCAGTGGTTGATAAACCCCGTGTCACTTGGTTGAAGAAAACAGATCTTCCCTCACGCAGCAGGGATAAGTGACAGTTCATTGTTGTTTTTTGCCTTTGTGGCTATGCATTCATTCATTCACTCATTCATTAATTCATTTTTAAACCAACAAAAGGAAAAGAGGCCAAGAGAAGGCACAAGAATCACAGACCCCGTTGCTCACACACTCAGGAATCCCTAAAACACCAACCTGGCTGCTGTGACGCTGAGGACCCGGTGCAGACCTGTTCGGGTTCTTTGCTTTTCGTACATTTTGTATACTTGAAAAGTTAGATTTATGAGGATTTCTAAGATAATTCTCATTAAAGATTCTAACATTAAATGGAGAACTGCTCCCAGAAATATGACTTTTGCCATGACTGAAAGAGAAATAACTGTCAGAGTTTACTGAGTGATTGAAGTAGTAAATGCCATCTCAAGCCTTGCTGTACTGGGAGGCTAGTATTAGAGATGTGGGCAGCTGGTTCAGAGCCTCAGGGATGCCGAGGATGGGACCAGAGTTTAGAGTCTGTCTAATTCTATAGCCAAAGTCAAGTTTTTTGGCAGAATATTTTGGATAGAAGGGAAAAAACACCTTAAAAATACAAAATAAGAGTTTTGTAAGGCTGCACACCCAGTCAGTGAGATCCCCTGGAATCATCAGGTCCAGCCACACATGTCCAAGGAGCAAATAACACCACTAAATAACGAAATGGCCCAAAACAGAAGCAGGGCCTTTCTCTTGATGTGTAAGGAGAACAGTGAGAAACTGTAAAGTCCTGTGCCAGTGCAAGTCCTAAAGCTGAGCATGCATTAAAAAAATAAAAAGTATTGGGAGACAGAAGCTGCGTGGTTTCTATGCATTCTATGTCAGTCCAGGCTGCATAGTGAGACCTCTTCTCTCAAATAAAGCTAATAATAAAACTTCTTATTCAAACATACTCATTGTACATTGACTTTCATAAAGTAATGTTTTCTTCAGTGTATGATGTACTCTGACAATATTCAGACCTCGTCACCCTCTCCTATCCCCTCCTGTGAGCCCATCTCCTCTTCCCAATTAGCCCCCATTCTGCTTATGCACAAATGCTGGCGTGTGTGTGTGTGTGTGTGTGTGTGTGTGTGTGCAAGCGTGCGCATTAACACTGTATGTTCCACACACAAAAGAAAATATGGCATTCATCTTTGCGGGGGTCTGGCTTGGTTTTCTCAGCACGATGATCTTTATTTCTGCCTCTTGCATATGACACTATTCTTCTTTTCGAGGCTGAATAAAACTCCCCTGTATATATCTGAGCATAAGGAACGTGTAGTTTAGAATTCTGCTGTAGAGGTCTTTAGTCTGATGGAAACAGTACTCGATGCCCCCGTCTTCTTGATGAACGTGCTGGTTGTGTTAGGAACTGGTCATGGTAGGGAACGCTTGCTTCCTCTCAGTGTTGAATCAAAAATGTTCTTACATTTGAAACTCGATCAAAGTAATAATGAACTAATCTTGGGCTGTCAAACACAAATTGTTAAAGGGCAATCATATAGGAAAGTATATTAAGAAATCTTCCTTTGGTATTTAAAAGTGGAAATACAACATTAAAATACAATTTCCTTATAACCATAAAGCATGTGTGTGTGTGTGTGTGTGTGTGTGTGTGTGTGTGTGTGTGTGTGTTTCAACACAGGGTTTCTCTGTGTAGCACCGGCTGTCCTGAAACTCGCTCTGTAGACCAGGCTGGCCTTGAACTCAGAGATCCTCCTGCCTCTGCTTCCTGAGTGCGGATTAAAGGTCAGCACTTCCCAGCTCTAACCTCTATTTCTGTTCTTGGACCACTCTGATTGCCCCAGGGATAGCAAAGCCACTGGAAGGCACGGGGCTTAGGGAGTAGCCTCCACACACTAGAATTGCTGCAGAGAATTGTTTTTCTCAGTCTTTTTCCTCTCCTGGAGATGAAGGGAACCAGGCCTGTGCTGGAGGGGGTGGGTGGAGAGGGTTCGCTCCAGTGCACAGCTGAAAACGTGGAGCCACCGGCAACAGACTGAGTAGCTATGAATAAGGGCAGCTGGGAAGAAAGGAAGAACGGTGTCTACAGCCCTGGAGCCCGAACTACAGAGAATTCAGGCAAGTTGCACAAAACATTTGAATTTGTTGTTAGTTTGCCCACAGGTTATTCTTAGGTGATTGCTGTTCATAAGGGGATACCGCGGGTTACAGGGGCCTCGCTTGTGCCAAGGGAGCGCACATGGCTCTCATCCTTGCCTCACACTGGAAAGGGGGATGTTAAACAAAAGCAAAGGCAAATTGCCTAATTTCTAAGCTTTCCGTTGTTGTGGTAGTGCTGAGTGTGTATGTGTGTGTGAGTGTGTGTGTGTGTGCGTGTGCAAGACACCTGAACGAAGCAATGCTGATGAAATTTTTACATTTCTACCCTGCGTAGAGCATCCACAGAGCAACACTGTCAGCAGCGTGAGCACTGTTGATCTTAGCAGAATCCACTCAGACAACCCGGAACATGCTAGAAAGCCACTGGTAGAGCATGACCTAATTACTGAAGCTAAGGAAGGCCGGATGCGTCAACTTCCTACTACAAACCCTCTTCCCTGGCTGTCTCTAGTATTTGTGAAACCTACCACCGCCCTGGGAGGAAAAGATCATCATTTAATTCTAGCCAAACCTAGATACAACTCAGCTATAGCCTACACATTGAAAAAAAAAGTTTATTGGGTAGCATGAGAAATCTAACCCTTTTAGGAAAAATTTTATTTCAAGAACTGCTCCTTGGAGAAGAAAATCGGCTCCCAAGCTGGCAATTCAGTAACAGCTCCTCAGCTGCATCCACCCAAACGCGTGGATTCGCCAACGGTGCTTTGTCTAGAGAAAGTCTTCGGGCCCTTTAAATACATTTGTTTTCTTGTAAGAAATTTGAAATCTATCATTACATTTTTCCAATTCTTTTATGAGAGCCATCCAATACAGCTCTCACTTTATAATATCTATAGCTGGACAGCAAAAGATTTGCTGCACAGTGAACCAAACTCAGGTGACGGTAGTGATTCCCAGCAGTGAGATACCGAGCCACAGCATTTTAAAGACACAAGTCTAGTGAAGGAAACAGATTCTGGTGCCAACTGAAAGTCATCCACAGTGCTGTACCATGTTCTTCATGGTCTCAGCACTTCGTGGAGTCAACAAATACCTTCTCCTCCCGTACAACCGAAATTACATAAGAAGTTTAAACTGGTTTCCTTCTCAGCTAACCTGGTGCTACTCAGTAAAGTCTCTCTGAGCCACAAGAAGATATTTCTCATGGTCTACTTCTGGAAATTATGTCATAACTATGTACAAAACCAGGATAACTGGCACTCAGATTACAATTTAGATCTCAAGAGTACTTACTCATAATCTTTCTAAAAGACAAAGCGCATTAGTGAAGAAACTAGTTTACAAACAAAATTCCCGAAGGATGAACACAACTGCCCCCACTTAGTATCGGTGCAAGGAGAGCTGACACTCTTCAAGTCAGGGCTCTGAAACAGGCCTCATAGAGAAAGCCCGTCTCTATGGATAAAACCTCCCATTGGCAATATAACATCTACATGCTTTTTTCTTTATTTTAGAGAATTTGAAACTCATGATTTGAAAAATGAAGGAAGTCACTCATGCCTGCTGCTGTTTTCTGTGTCGGAATCAAACCCCTTGGAGCTGAGTCTGCTTGGCTGTCAGTTACTTCAACAACGCTAAGTCTAATATGAGCAAAGTAAGTAATGTCATTGTGGATGGTTATGGCTGGTTCACGTGAAAAATGTCACACATAGAGCTTTTGTCCTGCAACATAAATTTTCCAGTGTGTCCTGACAATACTTTGGCAATCATAGGAAGCACAGAGGAAAGCCAGACTTGAAGGGGACAAAAAAAAAAAAAAACCCACGGTGACAGATGAACACCCACATAACTCGGCACTTCTTCCTGCCTATAAACACGAACAACTCAGGACATTTTTCTGCATCCTATTTCACTTAGTTCCCTTAAGTTAGAATGTTGAGTACATTTTTCCAAGCCTATATAGTCCTCAATTCCCACTGAACTATTCTTGGCCATGGTTGGGATAATTGCAGAAGCTTTTCTATTCCTGCTTATGAAGTAATCAAAGTCTACATTTGAAAATAATTACTGATTCCTCAAATAACTGACTGGTCTTGTTGTTTTTGTTATTGCCAAGGAGACAGACATCACGTGGTAGAATCAGTTGTGGAGATCACACAGCTTCTATAACTGAAAAGCTGAACGTACAACCAGTAGGTAAGGAATTCAGACACTCCTTCTATCACTGACCTGAC